ATTCGTGGGCAACCTCACCGAAGAATTCTTCTCCCGGCTGCGGGGATGATCCTCGGTCTCGTCCTTCACGGTCTCGTCTCACAAGTGCACACGACAATACGTTTCGACTGGTTTAGGCGAGCGGCCGCGACAAAGTGAGCCCTGGATCTCTCGATCCAGGATCGATAGCGGGGTCGTTGGCCGCGCAGGGGGATGCGCGGACCCCCGGCCAATTAGCGGCCGACACGCGCGAGGTCCTGGCGCTTCGCGCGCCACGCGACGCCTTATCGTGCCCCGCGCGAAACAGCGCCAAACTTGAATGCCTTTGCGGGCCCTTATATGGCCCGGGTGCGGTCCTTCACGGACGTATCCTCCCCTGGAGGATGGCTGTCGCAACGGCTGTCGCTTCCGGCAATCGTGGGGAGGCGATGCGGCTCTCCCCTGCCCGGGTTCATGATGCAGGGCTCCCTGGGCCAGGATCCTCGGCTCTTATGAGTTTCCCTTCGGCTGTCGTCCTTAGCTGTCGCGGGGAGGCGATGATGCTCTCCCCTGTTCTTCGGTGTTCGATGGTGAGGCGCCTCAAGTCGACGATGATACAAAATAAAAAGAAAAATTAACATTACACGCAATATAACACGGATCTTCTCGTCTCTCTGGGGAGCGCGATAGTTCTCTCTCTCTCTCTTGACCTTTGACGCGGCCACTCGGCCCGCGCCCCGTCAAGATTGCCGGGGCGGATGTACGGGACGTGACGGCCACGTCACACTGTTTAAAATGCATGTTCAATACGCACCTAAATATAAATAAAATTTTTAATTTTATACGTAATTATATTATAAGTAAATAAATTATAATCTAATATTGATTAAAATAGTTAATATACTAATACTTTTAGTGAAATATTAATTATTACAGCGTGTGTATGAATGCATTATTTTATTAATTTCATGAAAAAGCAAACGTTTAACGAAACGAATAAACGAATAAAAGAAGAAAATGTATTTTATTTTAACGAATAAAAGAAGAAAATGTATTTTATTTTAAACGGCTTCTAAACGCTTTTTTTTGTATTAGAAAAGAAATATATCTTTTAACGTTTTTCAAGTAAACATTTTAACCAATAAGAAATTCTCAAGATTTGGTTATGAACGTTTCAAAGAAATTTGATATTTGTGAAGCGTTTTTGAAACAAATATGTGCTACCTGGGGCTCTAATTAATGTTTATATGATGTCCATATAATGTTTAGAAACGAATTTTTATAACCTCTATATGACGTCCATGTGGTATATATGAATACGTAATGGATGTCGAATGAAAGTAAGAAATACGGAACTGTGGATCTTTAATAGACGTCTATAGAAAGTTACATGGACGTTTAATAGAGGTTTTGAATCTCCATGATGGATATCCATTAGAGGTTTTTATTCCGTGTGGGGTATTTTATCTAGCATCTTATTAAATCGAAATCAATATACATATGACAGACAAATAAAGGTTTTTATTCCGTGTAGGGCATTTTATCCAGCATCTTGTTAAATCGAAATTAATATATATATGACAGACAAAAAACTTGTCTTGTAGTAATTTTAATTTAGGATAGACTATTTCGATCAAATAAAACAAATGTTATTAACAAAAATTATTACAGTATGCTGTATTGCCATATCTATCCGTGATTCGGATTACTTCCTCCCTAACTTAGTAAATATTTAGTAGAACTATATCTACTTTCCTATATATACTTTCCGATTATAATAGAAAATTTTATTTCTAATTAATTGTAAGGACATCTTTTCCATAAAAATTTACAATTTGTATCGTATGAAACAGTTCAAGAATAAATATAATAGTTATATATGATTAGAAAGATGACTATCATTAACTAGATCACAATATATAGTATTGACAATGAATTTTTTTATGCGTTAGTTTGTTTTACCAGGAATATGGCGGTCGTTAACTCAGTAAACACAAAATAACAATAATATATAACAATAATATATATAATAAATTAATAAATTTATGCTCTTTATGTATTAACAACACGATACACAAGAAACTAGCAAAATGAGCCAGCGCGAATGGTAGCATAACATTTTTCTTAAAAATTAATTATTCGCGAAATTTCATGTCCGTGCACAGGACATATGCATATATTTTACTTGGTGCATTTACCAATTCTCATTTTTGAGAATTCTATAAATCCCTCTTTATCCCTCTGAAGAGATGTAGACAAGAAAAATATCGGGATGAAATCGCTGAATCGGGAATCGAACCCGAGTCTTTCGCTTGCTGGGCAACTGCTCTTACCACTTAGCTATTCAGCTCCACATCTTTCGTCTTTCTATTTGTTTACAAATCGGCAATCGATTATCGATAGCCGTCGGATGCCGATTACGCAGTTCGCGCTTTACTTTTCGGCTCCTTACTCATGCGACTCCCTCGAACTTCGACAATTTCACAATTTGACTTAGAATCTACTACATGCCGCGAAATGCTCACACATACGACAATTATCACGAGATAAGTACGGATCATACAACGTAATAAGCGCGACAAATACAGAACGATATTCGCAAAGTCATGGCACACAACACTCACACATATGCAAATTAATACACGCAAATCGCCCGAAAATCGATTACGGGGATGTCTTACGCGGCTTCGACAACTATATACGACAGCACGGAAAGCATACGCATTCCTCGCGATTTACCGCGCACGTGGTCAATATACGAGAGCCGGTCGCTACGCGTTTCACGACACCCCAAATCCCGGAGAGAGACGAACGATACCTTATCAACTACGGCCATTGTTACGATCGTCCTTGATGCCTCGGTCGCTTTTTTCCGGTCGCCCAAAATACGCGAAAATCGAACGCTCGACACAAAGTTCGAGCGATAACGAGACACAAAATGGCGACAGAGCGGTCGGTCTTCGGACAGAATCGCGTACGTGGCTCACAATTTATCGATGGACAACCTCACCGATACGTACTCCCGCGCATAGGGAGATGATCCTCGGCTCCGTCTTCTCCTCGATTTCAATAGCGATACAAGACAATGACGATACCACTCGATTCGACTGCCTAAGACGAGCGCCCGCACCAGAGTGAATCCCTGGATCTTTCGATCCAGAGTCGATAGCGGCCGTCAATCCCTACGCGCAGGGGTGCGCAGATTCGCGGCCAATCACGCCGCGACACGCGAGATATCCTTACGCCTCGCGACGGGGCCGTAACGGCCCCGAATTATTTAAAATTCTTTATGCCGCCGACCAGGTTTTTGGCGGTCCGCTAAGGGCTGATGGTAAATCCTCCATCCTCGGAGGATATCTCTGATGGGGCTCCATTCCTCCGATCCACGGAGGTTTACTTCCCGGCTTTTCCTCCGCTTACGAGTGGCGCCGGTTTCGCCTTGGACTGCTCTTGTTTGCTGAGTCGAGTGCGCCGAGTCGGCTGTCGCCAGAGTTTCTTTTTCTTCCTCTTCCACGGAATACTCTCCGGCGGGTTGTCCGAAATACATTATAATACAAAAGAATACAACAAAAAAATAATTAGAAACGATGTAATACATAACACTGGCTCGCCTCTCTGAAGAATTCGACACGGCTGTCGTAATCCTTTCTGGCGCGGTCGCTCGGTTCGCGCCCCAAAAAGATTTTCCGGGGGGGGGGGGGTGGACGCGCATCGTGACGGCAACGTCACACCCCCCATGCCAAGAGAGATCGTATCGGCTTCGATTACCTATCATGGCCACTAATTCGGACTCTACTCCCGTCCGTTCGCACATGTTCGGACGAAAATCCCCGGAGCCGAGGCAGGCACAAACACAAATTACAACATAAAAAAAATTAACGAACGAAAATCAAATTATTAACGAAACGAGAAGGGATACTTTATCGCTTTCCACCAATTTTGATTCGTGATGTCGTCTCTCACTGGTACCCGCGGTCCCGGTTGTCGCGGGGCCGTCCCGCTCGATGTTCGTGATCTAACTCTAAAGGTTGTGTTCAGGTTTTTTGGAACTCAAGGATGATCGTATAAAGAATAGAAATGATTCTAACGTAGCTCGTTTATTATAATATAATGACGGTTATTGAACTTGGCGACGACAAACAGAAGATCACATATCTCGTGGCTTTACGAGCTCATGGATGAGAACAACAAAAAAAAATAATATTCTCACGCGACAAAATCGACAGGCGACAACGAAAACAAAACAAACAAAAAATAATACTCTCTAAATATAGGCGAGAGAGAAGTAAGGAAAGAGAAAGAAAGAGAGAAATGAAAAAAAAATAAACGGATCTTAAGAGATCGGTGGGGTCCCAGAGTGGTCGACAGCTTGACTCTCAATAGGGTCCTAGGCGGGTGTTACTCCTCACTCTCCGTCCTCTGGGTGGATCGGACCCTAGGTGACTTCTCCCGCGCACATAAGAGCCCTGGGCTAGCCATCCCGAACGACAATAGGGGTAGGGTCTCACTGTATATCCCCGGGTGTTACACCGGAAGCAGTAGCTGGCCGATTTTGCGTGGGGGCATTCCCGGGTAAAATGGGCCCCAGAACCACAGTTCCAACATCCCTCCGGCGGATCTGGGTCCTCGGGCGAGTGTGGTCCGGTGAGGTACTGACCATTCCGTCGAGACCAATGAAGATGCCGCTCTTTAGGGCTGTCCCACGGGGACTCTAGGACCGGGGTCTCCCGGTCATTCGTGGAGGAATCCGGTTCTATTTTCGGCTCGTTGGGATCGGTCTGGACGGCGATCTTACCCAGATTCGACAACCGTTTCGGTTGCCGCATCTCGAGTGTTGGCGACCACTTAGACTCCGGTCTCTTCCTGGGCCGGGAACTCGCACACTACGGCGCCTCGGGTTGTGACGTGCCTCTCGAACAGGGTGTGCAGTTCATCGGCCATCGCCGTCCAAAATCCAGGACGCAACTCGTCGACAGCGTCGATGACGTCGCGGTATCTCTCGCGGAAATCTCGCGACATTCCCTATTTCTGCTGCTAATTATTTAGTTGCCTGGGGAGTTTGGTGGAACATTATATGGTTTGAGATCTTTAATGTGTACCTTGCCTCGATTAAGGTTATCCGTTAACTCGTATACGACCGGCGACAACATTTTCGCGATAGTAAACGGACCGTGATATTTAGTCGCTAACTTTGCCGAAATATTCTGGGCGGCTGACGACAGCACATGCTGCCGCTTTAGAACTTGCTCGCCAATCGCAAAACGATAATCTCGTCTTCGCAAATTATAGTAATGCGCCTGTTTATTATGCCCGGCCTCTAAATTTTCTACTACCCAATCTCGCAAAACCTGAATTCTCTCTTCTCGATGCGCTCTTTCCAATTTTCGGGATTCGCTTCTTCGGGATTCCGCGACTTCGACAGCTGGCTCGTGCCTCCCACGCACGGTGTTAACCGGCTGAGGTTTCCTACCGAAATTTAAGAACGCAGGAATAGCCTGTAAGGAGATATGATACGCCGTATTGTATGCGAATCGGAACTCAGCCAAGTGTATATCCCATTCGCGATGATCATTTTCGAAAAACGCCGTAATCATAGTCTTAAGTACTCTATTGACGCGTTCTACCGGATTTACCTGAGGATGGTACGGAGGTACGGTAGTGTGAACTATACCGTATGGCTCTACAAACGCCTGTAATTCTCGGTTTATGAATTCATGCCGTTATCCGTTAAGAGTATCCGCGGCGTGCCTCAACGGTTCACGATTAATTCGCTTAAAAGCTCGCGAATCTTCTTGCCCGTTGCTTTCCGAAGCGGGCTACATTCCATCCATTTGGTAAACAGATCTTAGATTACCAAAATGTACGCGTTATCGTTTTTACTCAGACAGAGGCAGAAAAGGACCCATAATATCCGCCGCTACTACCGTCCACGGAGTTTCGACAGTTCGGCGTCTCATTAAACTCATCGGCACATTCTGTTCTACTTTTGTCCTCTGACAAACGTCACAATGTCTGACATAATTGGCGATTTCTCGAAACATACGCGGCCAGAAATAACGAGTCGCTACTCGCTAATACATTTTCTCGACTCCTAGATGACCTGATTGTGGAACTTCGTGAGCCTCGCGAATAACGTTCGCGCGCGCTTCTTTAGGAAATACTAACTTTCATTGCTCGAGATCGTCGACAACTTGAGATACGACAGCATTCGGCTTTTTAAAATAAAGTTGGTCGTTTTCTAGTTTTCAACCTGAATTTTTACGCAGCTCATTTTCCACGTCTCAAACGCGTGCATCATACCAAGTGTCTCCGGTAATCGCGACAGCACATAATTCATTGGTAGTCTCACACATACGCGACAACGCATCAGGAACATGATGTAATGCTCCTTTCTGATGCTCGATCGTGTAATCGTACTTTAATAATTCCAAAGCCCATCGTGCTAATCGGCCTGTAGAATTCTTTAAATTATGTAGCCATCGTAAGTTATTATGATCCGTAATGACCTTAAAATTATACCCCTCGAGATACGGTCTAAACTTTTTAATCGACCAGACGACAGCCAAACATTCCTGATCGGTCGTAGAGTCTTTCTTCTCGGCCTCCGACAGTGCCTTACTCGCAAACGCGATTACGTGTTCTACGCTTTCCGATTCTTGCGTTAATACCGCTCCTAAACCAACCGAATTAGCATCCGTTTCTAAAGTAAACGGTAGCTCGAAATTTGGACACGACAGCGTAGGCGGTGACATAATGTACGATTTAACCGACTCAAATGCAGCTTTTTGTTCATCCCCAAGAGAAATTCTTCCGGAGGAGATGAGTTAGCGGTTCTAAACGCGTAGCACACTGTGGTATAAATTGGCGATACTAAGATGTCATCCCTATAAATCGTCGTAATTATTTGATGTTCTTCGGTGGCGAATATTCGACAATCGGCGCGGTTTTGTCAGGGTCTACTTTAAGCCCTTCCTGCTGTATTAGAAATCCGAGATACTTTACTTGTGACCGACAGAATTTATTCTTTTCAGGATTTATCGTAAGGTCTGCTTCTCTAATTCGATCTAATATGCGTTTCAGCTAAGTCAGATGTTCTTCAAAAGTACGCGTTACGACAACGATATCATCCAAATAAGCGAAAGCATGAGGTTCCATTTTCGAACCTATAAGCTGATCAAGTAAACGTTGAAATGTCGAGAGGATACTGGTGAGACCATACGGCATTCGGGTGAAATGAAACAACCCTTTTCCCGGTACCGTAAATGCCGTTAACTCGCGACTATTCCTTTCAAGCGGAATCTGAAAATATGCTCGACTTAGATCAATAGTCGAAATATAACTAGCTGATCATAATTTATCGAGAATTGCGTTCATATACGGTAACGGATACGCATCTTTTTTCGAAACGCTGTTTAATTTTCGAAAATCCAGACAAAATCGATAGCTCCCATTAGGTTTCTTGATTATTACGATCGAGCTAGACCATTCGCTTTTAGACGGTTCGATAATTCCTGTCGCTAACATTTTGTCTATTTCCGCGTAGATCGTTACCTGTATCTTCGACAAAACGGGGTAATATCGCTGTTTAATCAGAGCATGTCCGTCGACATCAATTTTATACTCTGTCAAATTAGTCGCTCCCGGTTTATTCGGATCGTCTATGTGACTTTTTAAGAATTTAGCCAGTTTTTTTCGCGCGACGACAGTTCATTCAAACCGCAGCAAATAAGCGGATCAGATTTCGACAGCCGAACCCGTTTGATTTTGCGAACATGGGTTGTTTTCGCGGTAAGACTAATTTCTCACGCGCCGTCATCCGATTTCGGTTTCGTTAAATTTGCGCTTTCGGACACGAAACAATTACCTGATTCGCGTCTAGCAGAATTCTCGATTAAATTTAAGTGAAAAATGGGGTCCACTGGCTGGTTCTCGAAACGATATACTCTGGTTGGTTTACTTTCAAAGTACCATTCTTGGCGTAAAAAATTGACCACATAATGCCAAATAATCTCAAAAAATCGAGTATGCATGGAATCGCTAATGATGATAAGGCATACGCTCTCTCAAAGAATTCGTCCTATCATACAACGTAAGAGAAAGATCCACCCCCTCCCTAACGCGTGTCGTTTGGCCGTTTGCCGTAACTACTCGTCGGCCATCCGATATTCGAAATTTTAACTTTAACCTATTCATCAATTCGACAACACCAGATTCCAAAAAAGTGCGAATCGAACCACAATCCACTGCAGAGCGCTAATCTCGTTTCTTAATAAATTAACACGAATAAATAACATTAACGGAATGTCACGACAACCAAAAGCACTAAACGAAAATTCACGAGAACAATTAACGACGTGAAAAGGGGGTTGGGGTTGGGTAGGAGTCGGGTCCCTCCACTATTCAACTCCTTTACTCTTTTCCCGAACAGTCGGGACACGTTTGTAATGTTTCCTTCCGCTCGACCGCAATGATAGCAATGCAGTCGCGGAACTGCTTCACAATGTCGCGAAATGTGACCGACCTTCTCACAATTCCAACACTTTACGACGAAATTCGCGAAGCTGTCGATTCTACGGCTGTCACCCCTGACGATGACGAAGTCTCCTGAGCAGCTTCCGCCCCGGTCGCGGCTCGAGCTGCATGATTTTTATTTTTCCTTCCCCTTCGCGAATTAGACTTTGATTCTGAGTCCGCATTAGACGTACTCAACGCAACAAGAGTTTCCCGGCCTCGGGTAGACTGTTTCGTATTACGCGGCATGTGGTACGCGAGATCCGGAAACAATGATTTCTCCGGAGTCGGGGGAGCCCGATAACGCTGCGACAGCAAATAACTAGCTTCCACGCGAGTCGCCAAATCCTCTAAAGCGTCTGAGTCTTCCACTTCATTTAAACGGATGGACTGTTGTATGCGCGGTAATAAATTTCAAAACGCGCTGCTTACTTGCTCAGATTCAGTCCACGGTGGCGAGAACCGATCGAATATGGCTTGAAGACACGTCAAAAAATTAGCGACAGACTGATGTTCCCCTTGAGTCCTTCTCATAATTTCCTCACGAAGAGCAAATTGAAAATCCGGGTCCCCGAATCGCGTTCTCCACGAATTTTTAAAAGCGGTCCAATTCGACAGCCGATTGCGTTTATTACGGAACCAATAAAGTGCAATACCAGTTAGAAAAAATGACAAGCAACGTAAAATATATCTTTGACGGGAACTAACTCGCGACCTTCCTCAATTCAGAGTAAAATGATTTTTGCATCCTCCCCTCGCGTACACGAGAATTTCAAATTTCATTTTCGCATGACGTTGTACGCCGTCATCGCGGAATTTCCGGTGTCTTCGCGCGAAAAATCTCGTCCTCTCGAGTGCGGAGTATCGTGGGAGCCAGAAGGTGCGCGAGATTTTGCCTGATCCATCGGGCTATCAGGTCGAACCATTGTATCCGTAGAAACTTCTAACAGCTCCTCGTCCGACATCTTTACCCGTGGAGCACTCGTCCTCAGGATGGTGTACACGGGTGCGCCCATGGTACACCGGGATACTGGACATCGGTAGCAACCGACCGAGTCTGGTAGCAACTGGGCTCTAGACAAGGGGAGTTAAATCAGGACCCCAAAGTATAACTAACCGCGGACTGGCGAGGCGTGAAACTGGGGAACGGGCGGTTCGCTTGACGGCCGCAGGAGGGGAACTCGGTTAGGGATCTAGGATCGCGGAGACCAATTTTATTTATTCCGGGAGCCGTACAAATGGTTGTTACTTTAAAAGCCGTGAAAACGGCTGGTATCCCGAGAGCTGGCGGACGATCGACGTCCAGAGATCGGAGGAACAGTTGTTCTCCAATGCCGTGGATACGGCGCTCGTCGAGGAGCCATGGGAACGGCTGTCGTCCGGGAGCCGCGGGAGCGGCTGTTCTCCAGTGCCGTGAATACGGCGGTCGTCCAGGAGCCGTGAGAACGGCTATTGTCCGGGAGCCACGGAAGCGGCTGTCCTTCAGTATCGTGGATACGGCAATCGTCCAGGAGCCGTGAAAACGGCTATCATCCAGGAGCCGTGAAAATGGTTATCGTCCAGGAGCCATGAAAACGGCTATCATCCAGGAGCCATAAGAACGGTTACTTGTCTAGGAGCCGTAAAAACGGCTGCTCGTCCAGGAGCCGTGAAAACGGCTGTTCGTCCAGGAGCCGTGAAAACGGCTATTCGGGTTGCGAGGTTGGAAGCTGGACAGTCCTGGCGTCGTTGCAACCGACCGAGTGCGGAAGCGTATCCTGGATCGGATCGTCCGTGGGTCGATGGAATGCTCCTGGTTGTCGAGTGCACCCGACCGGGCACGGTAGAGACCGTGCTCTGGACCAGAGAGCGAGGATAGGAGCTCGGTAAGCTTCGAATGCCCAGAGAGCGCCCTGTGGCTTCGAGCGTCCCGAGAGTCGGGACAGGAATAGGTGTCGATCTTCCGGAGCGGCCGCCTTATATACCCGGCTGGTTATCCCCACGCGATATCCCCAGACGGTCATGCGTGTAGCGGTGGGGTAGGCCGCAATTCTCAATTCGCGGCTCTTAATCCGCGGGTCGGTGCTCAATCGGCGGCGCTTGGCGCCAAATTGGCGCAGCGCGTGTTTGTTTAATAACAGCCTCGCCGTTACACTACTTCCCCGTTTTACGGGGAATTGCGATCCGGCAACCGCTTGCAGGAACGCTGGTGGCCCCGGTGGTCGAAGTGGACCAACCAGCGTCCTGTAGTCGTGTGCACATGATATGTACGCGCTTTGTGCGCGGCGAAGTGCGGCACCTCGGCGCTTTCCCCGTCGGGCAAATGCACCCGGACCGGCGGAGGCAGGGTTGGGTCGGTCGTCAGCCGCGTGGTTGCCGCACAGACCGGGATGGCCGGGTGTTGGCGGCGCGGTCCCGGCACTAGTTGCCGTCGAGGTCGCTATCGGGAGACACCTCCGATTAGACACAGTACAATTGGACACAACTAACTTTAATTGGCTAATCGTGCTTGATCGTGCTGGTTACCTTAGGCATCGATCGATATAATTGGCTGTGTCTAATCGGGCAATCCTCGCTGTCGGTCGTCGGGCGGACCCTCGACGAGGTGGCGCGGTGGCTGTGGGTCCCCGTGCGCGTGGCGGCGGCGGCGGCGGTTCGGCCAAGAATATGGCCGCTTTCCGGGTCGCGGTCCGATCGCTGTATCCGGATTCCCGGCTTTGGTGGTGGTCGGCGTTCCTCCTCTCGCCATTCTCTCCTCTTCGCCGGCCTCTCTTCTTCCGAAGACTCTTCGGAGTCGCTCCCAAAAAACTCTCTAGCTAGTGTTCGCTTGGACATGGCGTTCAAATACTGGACGGTGTCACGTATGCTCGCCTTATATACCCGGCTGGGCCGGGCCGAGTGGTGGGGCAATTGCTGGACGGAACCTCCCATCGTCATCGTTCGGGGGTGCGTTCTTTAAGTCGCGCACATGTACGCGGCAACCTACCGGAATCGTCTCGTAGGTCTACGATAACGGGAGAAATAATTTTACGGATGGCCCTTGATAACGCGGCGCTAGTTTAGCGTTGAAACCTTCTGATTTGTCGGATAGTGGATGGTCCCGTTTCCATACGCGGTCTCCTATTCGTGGTCGCCAGTTGCGCCTGCGCAGATCATTATGGCGCTATTGCTGTTGGAATGAGCGGGCAAGATTGATGCGCACGACCTCGAATGCATCTTCGAGAGTCTGACGGACGGTCTCTGGGGCGGTAGGAGTTTGGAG